TTAATTTGAATTTAACTATGATGCCTAAGTACATTTCGTTTGAAATTCAATTAAAGAATCGTGTGACCTTCCCGAATGCAAACTCAAGATCGTTCTACTCTCTGTTTTATACTCGGTTTTTTGGGAAGGGGGTCATAAAGGCAGAGCTACTGGATGAGCATGAGTAAAAAGTTTTATTAGTTTCCACGTTGCCGAGTGTTTTTAGTATTAAATAAACGAAAATTGAAATTATAAAAAGCATTAAAACTAAACCAAACGGCAACTTGTATATTTTGAGGAATGGAACGGAACGGCACGGGATGGGGGCCAGGCTAATTAAATGTAATTAATTTTCACATACCTCAAAATTAAATGCATTTAAATCAAAGAGATCCGAGAGAGTGTGAGCTTTATATATGTATATATAGCAGCGTATGCTTTAATAGTCGCCGACCGACAAAAAACCGACGCTCTTAAAAGTGATTTAAAAAGTTTCATTAAGATAAACAACAACGAACACTCTACAGCAACAACCGAATGTTATAGCAATTTAAAAATTTAATTTAAGCTGGCTATGAGAGCACAGGTGAATAAACCATGGGTCACACTCGAATCGCAACTCTGACTAAACTACAGAAAAATGTTTAAGAAACAACAACAAAAATCAGGCGAAAACATAGTCTTGGGGGCCATTTACCGTTGCGCCCTCGAGGCGTGGCCGTTTCTCTCGTTTCATTTTAGTTTCGAGGGCATCCTCTACAGACTACTCTTTTCTCCCCGTCCCCCGGATGGGGAGCTCATATTAATGGCCCAACCAACCATTTCGGACAAACAAATTGCTGGCTACTGGATGGGATTGGAGATCCCAACCAACTCCCCAGCCCTTTTGCACCTTGCTTTCTCGCCGTAACACGAGATCTTCAGAAAAAGTAACAGCCAAAATTCAATGGAAAAAATGGCGTTTAACTGTAACTCCTCGGCGCAATATGTGAAACATTTTCGGGTCAGGTGCCCAAAGACCACAGTCCCCAGTCCCCAGTCTACAGACTCCAACTCCGCATCTGTATCTGTATCCGACGAGATTTCACCAACCTGTATCTCTCACTGACAACGCCCCAAAAACTTTTTGGCTCTGCCTGTTTTGTTCATTATCTTACGGTAATATCGCTCATAAAGCGTTGTCTGTTTTCTGTTTGGTGGCTACCTTGTTGGCATCGCCATCACCATCATCACCATCATCACCATCATTTTGGCCAACCTTCGCGATCTCCATGGAGCACAAGTACATATACATATAGCAACTTTAGCTCGTTATGGTTTCCTACATAACTACCTCTTTCCTCAGACCGCCTTTGTGCCATTATTTCGGTGTTACTTTTCGTTTGGGTGTTGCGCGGATGTATGTCCAAGTCGGACATTTTGATTGGTAACCTCTTGTTCAGGTATTTTTCTCATTTGTTGTTTAATTTTTTTTGTTTATCTCAAGACTTGTATTTTCAGCAACTTCGATTTAAAACGATTTGGCAAGCAATTGTTATTTCCGTATGGTTTTATTTATTTGGTAAAGATTTTATACCATTTGAAGATATTAGAAAGAAGGAACAATGTTTAAGGCCATGGCCAGTTAATCATTAGAAAGAATTCCAAATTAAAACAAACATTTTAGAATGTCGAAATCAAAAATATATGTTTCTATGAGTACGTGAACTTATAAAATATACGTGCCACTTAATCTGTTGGTGGGACAATCTGGTCAGCTCCTCTGTCTCGTACCATAATGCATTCGTAATGCGACTCGTGCCTTTTGGGACAAAGGAGGGAGTCAGTGAGATAGGGAGCGGTGATATCAATGGGGAGGGTAAGGGTGAGAGGGCTGGGGATTACGGGAGCGAGGCCTTAAAACGCGCGTTAATTAGCCGTACGTGAGGAGTGCGTTTGTCAAGCAGGCAAATGGCCAACGACTGCTCGGCTCAGAAATTTTATCAGCAAACTGAAATCAGTTACAGGCAGCTCACACAGCTCACCTGCAACAATGACAAGTGTTGATGGCGATGACGATGACGATGACGATGGACGAGGTATGGGGTCTGAGGTTTGAGATTTGTTGTACGTGGAATTGCGAGAGACCCATGTGTGTCGAGGCTTGACTTGACCCGTGTCCACCATTCGTTAAGCTTGGCTATAAAACAAAATGAAAAATGTTGTTGCAAAAAAAAAAAAACAGTTCACAACAACCGAATGAAATCGTAGTCTGAAACACTTGTACACATCGAGTGGTAAGGGCAGTGGTTCTATCTGATTTAAACGTAATGATTAAACCACAGCTAGACAGATGCAAGTGACAGTGCAATCAGTTCTGGAAAAGTTTCACAGCTGACCCTAAACAATCCATTATCCTTGACCCTTTAATTAAGTGCAAGTGCTCCATCTGAGACGTGGACAAGATTTACATATTTCACAGTTCAAGTCGTTTACAAAGGGAATGTATATATTAGTGTTGAAGCAAAGGAATTTTTATTGGGAGAGGGAAATAGTTATAAAGGCCAGAATTTAGTAAGCTCATGGAAAAATGACTAAGCTCAACTAATTTGTTAATGATTATTAAACATTAAAAGAACCTGATTATCTACTTAAAATTCTGTGATAATAATTGCAAGCAGGATATAAAAGTATAAACAGATATTATCTGTTTCATATTCTGTGATAATAATTGCAAACAGGATATACAAGTATGAACAGGTAACATAAAATCATCACGAATAATATCCTTTGAAATTGGATTACTTATTACGTGTAACCCCCAAAAGTATACCTCTACTTGTGAAAATGCACAAAAATTTAGTCAAGTTTAACACCCATCCCAGTCAGTCAAATGACAATTTTTCAATGAAAGGCTTTACTTTGAATCGTTTTATAACACAAGAGCACATATAATCAATTACATTATTATAGTTTGTATACCTCATTTAAATTACACTTAGTTCCTACCATATATTTACAAATATCATTTGTGTTTGGGTGCATCTAAAGTGTAGATCCTCTGACTAGACTGTCGATAAATTGTGAAATTCTCTTGTTTGGTTTAGATCAGGCTAGTACAATACTTAGTAAAACAAGGAAAATATTTGCAGCAAGTAATGAATAAGGTTTCTCCTTTAATAGCAAGCTGCAATTAGTAATAGTTTTTAATCCCATCTGTTGTACCATAGCTAAAAGCGAGTGCGAAGGCGTTATCCTTGTATATGGAAGGAACAATGGACGATATTATCTCACAGTTATGAGTGTCGTTGTGTTGTCTGATTTTGATTATCGTGTGAGAGTGTTTGTCGATTGTGTTTTGTTAATTAATATTCGTAATTATTTAATATTCGTTCACTGGCAACATAAATGCAAATGCAACATTATCAACGTTTTTTTTTATGTAACAAACAAATTGGTTTTTTTACGGCTAAACGCTAAGCAACAATGACTACCAAAAACACATTAACAGCTAAAACGCTAAATCAAAATTCGTTTCACAACTCTTAAAAATTATTGTTTTTTTTTTTGCTGTCTACGATTTCTATGCATTGCTATTGCACTATACCCGGTAATCTATTTTGCATCCAAAAATGATATTCAATTAAACTCTTTTCATACAAAACTTGATAAATTTGCATATGAAATGAATTCCGAAAAACTTGATTAACTTAATTTCGCTATACCGTAACGACTAAGTATAGTTAATTAGTTGCTTCCAACTCTGGACAAGACACACATTCAGCAAATTTGCTCATATATCATCAGTAACTTCGATAAAATCTCGACTAGATGGGGGTCGGGGTGCATAGAAAACTATTTACAAAGTGTGCGAAGGGGTAATCAATCTTAACATTAAGAAGCCTAATTATCCGTATGCGGATGTGCATGCGAAGGTGGATGGTAATGCTGTTGCTGTTGCTGCTGCTGTTGATGATACGTCGATGGGCCGGCTTGACTGGACGATGTGGGTGCACCCGAGCTGCTGGCAGCTTTCATCGCAGGTATGATATCCTCAATTTGGATAAGGTGTTCGATGGGTATTAGAGACAATTCACCGCCCACTGGCTGGGGCATAGGCAGCTTAGCCAAAGCCTAAAAAAGATATAGTTTTTAGTTTAGTTGGATTTTTCCTTAACTTAACCCTACCTTGGCATGCTCTACCGCTATGGTAGCTGCCTTCTCAGCCTCACGCTGTCTTCTCTCTTTAAGCTTGAGTGAGAATATCGCCACTGACCTCGCACTCTTCACCAGCTTCTGCTTAAGACGAGATTTCTTGGCGGCCAATTCAGCGGCTGGCAAAAAAGAATTATGAAAAATTGGTCAGAAAGAGGGAAAACCCGTATTTGATGTTTAACTTACCCTTAGCCTCGTCATCAGCAGTCCCTGTAGATGTAGATGCTGCTGCTCCCTGAGCCTCCTTATCCTTCTCCTTTTCTTTTTCCTTCTCTTTTTCTTTCTCCTTTTCCCTCAGTCGTTCCTTCTCCTTTTCTTTCTCCTTTTCCTTCTCCCGCTCCTTCTCCTCCTTGGCCTGCTGCTTCAATTGTTGTTTATGAGACGAACCGGATGAGGAGTTCGATAGTGCGCCAACACTGGGTCTTGACTGGGAAGTGGTGATGCCGCCATCTGATGCCCCAGCTGGTCCAGGGCCACTGGGACTAAAGACACTGCCACCGCCGCCGGATGATGATGATGAGGAAGCTACTATTTGCTGCTGGTGCTGAGAGGCTGGTGGGGTGGCCAAGCTGGTGCTAGGTGCTCCTGATCTCATGGCCACATTGCACCATGATGGAGCTGGCTTTAAAATCTCCGCTGTGTCTGCCGTGTTTCCAAGTTCCTTTAGATTTAGGAAAAATGATTAGAGATTTGTTAATATAAATGATAAACAAGTTAAGATCTATCGACATCGAAAGCTTATGGGGGTTAGACAATGATTTGTGTATGATGCTAGAAATCCATGCCATTGATTAGTAATTGGATTTGTGAGTGATAGAGAAGCCAGCGTGGGTTTGTGTGTATGAAAGCATCTGCCATGCCCAATCAAATTTTGTATTTTATTGTCCTCTCCCCAAAACTTCGAATCCAATAAAAGCGTTTTTTTTAACAAGGGTTTAACATTATGATTACTACTATTGATACATTTCTACTGATCCTGCAATTTCCAAGTAGAAAACACGAACAACACACATTGATTAACAAAACACATTATTCTTATGTATATATATATGCATCCGATTTGATATATATGGTTATATATATAGTATGTGACTCTTCACTACCTTTGAAATACAATCTATGCTTCTATGCAGATTTGCATTGTCGTTGACTTTTAAACGTGACATCCATTCTGGTGCATGAAGTTTTATGTGTAGCTTGTCCTTTGAACGGCAAAATTCGAGCAGGGTTTTAGGTTAGGTGAGTATTTTATTTGGCTTTTTGGTTTTGTTAAATGTGGCATTAACTTTTTTCTGTGGGGGAGTACAGGGCTGTGCTATTTGTAACCTCAGGTCTTTAAAGAAGTTACTTCTAACTTCCAAATTAAGATAAACTAACTACAGATTAGGTGTGGGTGATACTTAAAACTGATTGCATATTATTTTCCCATGATATTTTGGTTTTTTGTCTAGTTACAGGATCAAGTTTAGTTCCTAAGCAACTGGTTTTGATATCGATCTTAAAAAGTTCAATAAGTATTTTGAATTCTTTAACTTATCTGTTCTGCAATTTATTATTTAATCAAGTATATGTAATTTCCATGTGTTGAATGTTTAAATTGTTAGAAAGTCAAGTAGAGCGGTGATTTGGAAGAGCTACAGATTGTGGTTGGGATAACCAGTACCGAGGCTTTAGATAGTTGATGCAAAAGTCTACAGACACACAAATTACATTGAGCAGCTACAGAGACACAGTACGTCATTTGACTAGGAAAACTCTTGTGAAAAGGGGAAAATTCCTATTTGTAAGATATACGATTTTATATAGTCTTCCCCAAGATCTTACGCTCATATTCAGATGCATGGCACTCTCCGCGGATATCTTGCGCGTCTTGTACGGTGGTATCTCTGGAATCGTCTGCTGCGTCTGCTGACCAGATAGTTGCCGCATGGTGGTTCGCTGGGGACTGCTACTGGCGCTGCTGCCGGTATGATCGGCTGAGTCCGTCGATTTCTTTCGGAATGGCGGTATTTCTTGAATATGCATTGATTGCATGCGAGCTGCATTTAAGGCCGAGTTCAGCGCTAGCGTGCTGGCAGAAGCTCTGTGTGCCACACATAAAGCGAAAGAAAGAGAAAAAGTTCAAAAATGTAAAAAGAGTGTAAGAAAAGGTTGTAAAAATAGATAGTAATTTGATTTATCATATAAAATAGGTAACTAGGATAGAGCAGGTTAGCCAATTTCGAGAAGTAAACATTACACAAATTTTGAAAGGCTATGAAAGGGCAACAAACAGAAAGTAAAGGCATCAGACTTAATGCTGTTTTCAGTTTCTCTTTTATATAATAAAACTTAATTTGTTATTAATTACAAATATATAAATGAGCTAACCGAAAGCAGTATTAGTTCCATAGAATTACAGCATCGAAAGCATCTAAAACACGTTTCGAAACACACATCGATCTATCTAACCAACTATCCAACCATAATTTACCCGCTTGGCAGCTTCTGGCGTTGTTGCTTTTTTTGGTTGCTACCACCAAAAGTTGTTAAATTTCGCACTGAATATCCAAGATATGGCGGAATTTCCGGTATAAACATTTTTGATTTCCTAACACAACTCTGATAACCTCTATCAAAAAACAAATTTATTTAGCTTAATTTATTGAGAGTCAAAATTGATTTTAATTAAATTGAATAAATTAATAATGATAAAAGATTATGTGTAAAGAAAATAGAAATAGAATTGGTAAGTAAAAAAATGTTTATAACTTTCTAGTGAGCTGGGAGTTTTTTAAGTGCAAGTTCATTAAGTTCATGGGACGATGGCTGACCATTAGGAGTATCCCCCCGACACCTTGGCGTGTGCAAAATACTTAAGTTTTTCCGTCCCACACTCCTTTATTATTGTTTTAATGGAAGTGGCACTCACCCGCCATTACCGTCCTGATGCAAACTGGACAGGGAGGCGCCACCGAGCGGTGGCGTTGACTCATGCAGCGGTCTAATCAGTATGGTGCTGGTCTGTGAAAATGAAGTACAAAATGCAATTGCATATGAAGTTCAGTTGTCCTGTTTATTCACCCACCTGCGAGGGCGGAGAATCGGGTGATGAATCACGATTCTCATAAATATTAACATCCGCCTCGATGTTACGTCCATAGCCAGCAAACTCCTGTCCATAAAGCAGTATATCTTCGGCCACCTGACTCTCCATGGACTGATCTCGGGTGGTATTTGACCCACTCTCCATTTGCATTCCGCTGGGACCGTCCTGTTCCGGCTGCGTGGAAGTGGTCGACTGCGGAGTTGGAGGGGTGGGGCGAGGTGAGGTGCCCTTACACTGCATTTCCCGCCGGCAATGCTCGGCGCGTGCGATTTCCGCCGCCAACCACGAAGGCAACTCCGGCAGGAGCCAGGTGAGTGCCTGCCGCAGGCCCAACATTATGTGCTGTAAAATCGGAAGTATATATAGGTTTGTATATAGAAAACAAAGTAACTTTAATGTCCTTGCGATTAAAAGAGTAAATTATATTTAATAATTACATAATCATATTTAAAACACTATCTGCTGGGGCATAATGATTATGCAATTCCTTATATGAACTCACCTCTAGGGTGACAATCAGAATAATTGTCTGTGCTGTGGTCAAACCAGGCCATAGCCTCGACACCTGTCCTGAGAGTCCAATCAGGGCGCAATTCACAATGACGGCGGCAAGAGACAGGATGCTCAGGGCATTTTGCCAGGTGCCAATGTTGGCCACACGCTGACCAAATGGACGCTGATGAACATGGGCCAGCTTGAAGGCATCAGACCGAATCTCCATTAGGTTATTGATCAGAGCACAGACTCCAGCCAGTGGAAAGGCGGCCGAAAAGAGCACCACATAGCCCATTTGAACGAGCATCTCCAAATGGTCCGAAAAAGTGCCATCATACTGGAGGGGTAAAATCGAAGAGTCAGAAGAGAAGAACATCGTACGTTTAAATACGTCAATCACCTTGTACAACGAGCTCTCTATTTCGGCCTGGCCAATATTCCTTTTAGTCGACGACTCCGACTGATGGGTCTTGGTGGGCGTGCCAGTAGACTCTGCCTTTAGTTCCGCCTCAGCAGTGGCCAACTCCTCGGCCAGACTACGGGTCACATTTTGGGTTGGACTCAGAGCACCCCACATATTAAAGCTCAGCTTAGCTAGCTTCCATTGTTCAACAAAGTAGGGAATTGCAGACTCGCGAAGATTTCCAATGATTTGGCGGGAGATGAGAAGACCAGCTAGTTGCTAGGATTAAAAAATAACAATCAGTCTAAGCAAGTTTATTTATAGTATAATCAAGAAAGTTACCTCTTTAAGCTTCTCCTCATCACGCAAATAGAAAGCAATATAGAAAAGTGATAGGAAAGAGTTGACAAACTGGAAAAGAGCCACTTTGGCTATCAAATGGTTCTCATATTTCGACTGCAGGCGATAGTTTTCTGTGAAGTAAGTTCAAGAGGTTAAGGCGGTTCAATTTAATAAATAAAATGTCTCTTAAATTACCGCGGTCATTGAGCCAAACAGCCAACTTAAAGTAGGCTTCGTCCATCAAGGTAATGGCTCCTGCCAGTAAGACTTTTGGAATGACACTTAGACAGCACAGAACACTCTCCTCCGGCAACTTGGAGTCCCACCAGTCCTGAGGGAGTTGGATAGAGAAAAAAACTTAGATTTAATAAATTTATAGTAATTAATTTCTGATTAGCTGACACACGCAACCTGGGTAAGTATCAATATTAATCAGCATAGCCCACTCTTACTTCAGTTTTCCATCATTTTCTACGCTACCCCCACCGCAATTTTCCTTAATTAACCTGTCATTATTATTCATTCTTTGGCTGACCTCTCACTCATGCCTCCCCTTTTCCTCGGCTAATGAAACGCATATTGAGTGTTTAAGCAATTTGATTACATTACAAATAATTTCCGAGGATTAAAAGCACGTTTGGTGACAACGATCCGTGTTTGGTAGAATCCACAGATGTCCTGCCTTCCTCACATTTAAAATACTATGCATCATTTCTCCATTATGTTGGTCATTGTTAAACTGGAGAACAAAAGACCTCTCTGCTTTTGTCTCATGGAGACAAATATGTATTCAGAGGTTTTTATTATGTTGCACAATTTTGCAAACTTAATTAACCACACTTTGTAGCAGGTAATTAATTTGATAGTTGGTCAAATTGAATGTTTAACTTTTCCCCTGGAGCTCTTTAACATATTAGCTTAATATGTTCAATGGATTATAATTATATCGAAATATAGCCAGGCAATATATAAGAGCTCCAGCCTTTCAGTCAATTTGATACATTCAATGTGCTTTTCTATACCTCTAAACATCCTTCAGTTGACCAAGTCCTTTAACCACAAAAGTCTGCTTTTGACAAATACCACTATAACCGCACTGAAGCACATACCTATCTACACACATGATGCCTTCCACCCACCGCACCTCTGTACGCTTCATTACGACAACATTAAGGTGCTCGGTTGAGCACTAAAAAGAACCGAACCAAAAAAGCCATTGTCCCCTGGCTCCAGGTGCGCATTAAGCCACATGAACTACCTGCAAACACCGAAAGGTAGCCAAAAGCCAAACAACAACTACTACTAAATGGTCCATTCTCAGATTAGTGAGATGTGCAGCTCGTCCACTATGTAACTGGCAGCTTTTTAACTTTTTGAATGACACGAACAGATGAAAGCTAAATCCTATCCGTTGGCAAAGGTTAACAACGATCGTGGACTCTTTTTAAGGAACTATTTTACTTTTTTATCAATATATAAGTGTCTTAACCTTGAAGTTTCAATAGCAAAAAACTTGAGAGAAAACTTTCAGAAATTAGCAAGAATACATTCATTTTATTTGTCCTTCGTTCTTAGAGCTTTTATAGTTTTAGACTTTCAATTATGCGTAAAATTTCCTAATGTCAACGAAAGTTTTATAGTATTTTATCAACGTCGAAGTGGGGTTGGGCAACACTCGCACTTTACTAGTACTCTTTCTCCCCATTGTCTCTATCTTCAGTTTCCCAGAGGCAGTTTATTTTTCGCCAGCTGAGCATTTTAATTAACGTCAGCTTGGGTTGGGAAAAAAAGAAGAAGTAAAAAATGCGTATGCAAAATGATGGCCTGAAGCAATTGCAAAAATTCTTCGACCAAAGTGCATATGTGTGAAAAAAAAAACTTTTAATGAAAAAAATTCTCGGTTAACAGCGGCAAGAAAAAAAACCAAAACAATTCCTTTTGGAAGAAGAAGAAACTGTTTTGATTAAATAGAGAATATAGACCACAAGCCTTTTCTAAACTAATTTCAATTGTTCAAATTTTGTTTAATAATCTTTCAATAAATTTTATCTAACTTACAAAAGCATATTATATAGTATGATAATGATGGTTGATTTGTCTAATTTACTTTCTTTACTATTGCATATGACGACTACAACACAAACTGTTTGATTTTTCAATCATACAACACTTAAAGTAAATAATTTAAATGCAAGTTAAAAATGAATAAGAACCTTGTGCAAATTATACATGCATTGAGCAATTCCTTTATCTGGTATGTTATGGTGATCCAGCCAATCCTGTGAAGTATACAAAAGTAGAAGAAAAAGAAAGAAAACATAGAACCAAAGGACGAATGAAAATAAAATGTAAAAACAATTCATTGATGTGTGATGAGTGATAAACTTATTTTACTTTTGGCCCTATCTCTTTGAAAGTTTTAGTTGCGAAAATAAAGCGTTGAGAAAATAAGCCAACTAAGAAAAATGATTGCTATGAATTAGGTCAACGCAGGACCGGAAGTAAAAGCAGCAACAGTTTCAACCGGAAACCGTACAAGTGTTCATATGTGTGTGTGTGTTTATGTGCAAGGCAGTTAAAATATGCTCGTGTGCGTGTGTGTATTTCGGCTAATTCTCGTAAAGCGTGAAGAAAAAAGGAAAATAACAAAAAACTAAAATTTGTATAAGCAGGCGACACACGAGCACATTCACACGAACACCCACACATGCACACACAAATTTGTATATCGCTTAACGTGAAAACAATATTAATTATACGCACTGTGGAACAATTTTGGTGGGAGCACGGAATACGAATTGTCGTGATCGGAAAGTGCTTTGCATACCCTTGCAAATAATAATAAAGCTTTATGGATTTGTCAGGCACTTAATATGTTTCTTTATGGCCCATAAAATCATAATATTAATATTATCTGCACTCAAAATAAAAAAGGAAAAAAGCTGCAGCCTTCAATATATGGCAAATAAAGTAAAAATAACCCTGACGTTTATTTAAAATCTTTAATTAGTTTTCAAGAAGTTCAAGAATATAATTTTAGCCTTTCAGGATTTTTAAACACACCTACACACACACACACACTTTAAAGATGTCTAAAAAATTTTAATAAAATTAGCCTAACTCACCTGAAAACGCAACATGAGAAACATCACAGCAAAGACCACACACAGACAACAACCAATGATGGGAAAGCTGACCAGATAGCGAAACGCACGTCGCTGCCAAGCTGGCGCCTCCTTGGGCTCCAAACGACCCGTCACATTGTTCTCCTCCAAAGGACCCTAGAGCAATGATCCGAGATATACGATTAATCAAACAAATTGTCAATAACTTCTGCTACTCTACCTTATACAAGGGTCTCGGTGGTTCCAGCAGCTCTGGTGGCGTTGATAAAGTGCCCCATCGAAAAGCCAATTCCACGGAATAACGCTTCCAGGCCTCGAGATACAGTGAAGCCCAGGCTACATTGAACAGTGAGAAGAGTACGTGGCCCATATCCTGCGCTGTTTGACCTTTGCCCCATAGAATGCAATAGAGTATGGTGCCAAACACTGCCGGAACGCCCAAAGCGCAGGTGTAGTGACCCAGCCAGGCAAAGTACAAAGCGACCTTTACGCCAAAATAGGCAGCGATGTCATCTGAAATGAATGTCATATTATTAGGCCTCAGGTTATCAGAACTTAATGACTTTTCTGTCCTAAGAATAGGACCAATCTGCTTAGTCATACACTCTAAGAATTTAGTAACTGTCTTACCCAAAGGTTGCGGGGCGAATATCTGCTTGACCCAGTGCGTCTGGAGCTGCGTCAGCGAACTGGGCTCGTGCAGCGGGAAGACCTGGGTGATCAGGCCGGATTCCTGCCAAGCGGCCACGATGCTCTGACCCTCGGCCACAGCCGCTCTGCCATGAAGGGCATCGATGTCACTGCAACCGGCTCGTAAGCCTTGCAGCACCTGAAGGACCAGCCACTGTCGCTCCTGGGAGGTAAACAGTGCTGTGCTTCCCACATCACCGCGCAATTGCTGGAAACAATGACTCTCGCGGGTGGTGAACTCCCTCAAAGCACCGCCCAAATCGGGTCGCAAACGTTTTGGCAGGCGGGCTTCTTCAGCAGCTCTGAACAGGCTAGAAAAAAAGTTGTTTATACAGTAAGTACAGCAATAAATTAGTTTTTAGCTTTAGTTTAATATTTGGCACACAATTATGTGAAGCCCTAAAAATGGTTTTAATTAAAATTATTGGCTGCCTAGGTCTCAAACCAAAACATACAAAAAGTTTTAAAAACTTTTTAATTAAACTTATTCCTGCCAAAAGACTCCACTTACACATTAACGGGGGCACTGACATAGAAGGCATTCCGTCGCGTGCTCTCGTGCGCCTTGACCTGGACGAGAAGACCGAGACCAGCCGGCGGTTGCGAGCGGATACGGGCCAGGAGCCAGCGGAGCGCTTCGTCTGGTGCATCCTCGGGAAATTCAATAACCACGTCACATTGTGTGGGAATTTTATTGAGCCAGAGGCGCCGAGGCGTCATCAAATGACCTGCGTAGGGCACTTTGCGGCGTAATTGGCGGGAAGCTGGAAAACCGAAAAGCAGAGATATTAAGATACAATGTAACTATGTTTTAACTTTAGTAATCAGTTTATCCTCTAAAAGCTATTTAAGCGATAAAGAGATATTATACATACTAAGATGGAAAAGTTATGTGCCTTAGCTTTTCAAAGTTTGTAAAAATACGAGGGGAATGCAGACCAAAGCATCTCACAGTAAAAAATACGAAACCACAAATAAGCTAGCCTGACATAAACATTTACCACAACTTTTAATTAGAAAAGGTTGCAACATCAACCAATGCAAATGCCAACCGGTGAAAGGGGAAAAACAGTCAAGAAACTTGAGATGCCTTTCCAACCAGGAATTACAAAACGTCAAGAGAAAAGAAGGCTTTGACCAAGGAAATACCACCAAACCATAAAAAATAGGTTACATTCTAGGCAAGTTTCAAGCTGAGGATTGAATGACAAACATAAAACAATTTAAAAATAAAATATAACTATTCAACTTTAAATATTTTTGAATCACATTCAACTTTGTTTCAGTAGTTAGAAAACTGGCAAGGTGATGATTGCTGCAAAAGTTTCTTAGCAACAAAGTTTAACAAAAAATAAGTAGTAAAAGGTTCGCTAGGTCGTAATTAATTATGAACTTATTTGCACCCACACAAAGGTTATATTTCACTGAGTTGATAAAATTGCAGCGAGGAAAACTCTGAGTGAAAACTCTGAGCTGCACTAAAATTGATAGCCGGCGAGGACTTCCTGCCACCATTAATGTCCTTGTGAGACTATCAACAGCTTTCACTTTAAATTTGGCTAATGAGAAATGCCACTTCCCATGACCTCAAGTGCTGGCTTGGTTCGCTGCCAATGTTTTCTTTTGATAAGAATAATAATAATGGTTGGTTCGTTTTAAGTTCACCAAGCTCATTACGAGGGCCAGAATGTTTTTGCCATTACAGCGATAAGGTTGTAAATAAGTACTTTGGAAGGTCAGGTTTTTATGGTAAAAGTTTCTTGAGATATCACTGGCTATTTTCAACCAAGTTCTTCTTCCTTTACATCATCAATATTACTTAATAATCAATTACCAATTTTGGTTTCCATAAATCCTTTAATAGCCATTGTAGACCATATTCCGAAAATACTAATTGAATTCTCTGCCATCAAACTAATTTCAAATTGAAATGCTTAAAATCCCTTAATGCCTAAGAAGCTTTCATGAACTGAAATAGACCACTTTCCGTGATGACTTATTTAGCTTGGTTTTGCAAAAGCGAAACTCGTCATCATTAATTACACATTGTATCATCTTAGTAAGCCTCTCTCTGCCTCGCTCATCAGGATATTTAGATATTTATGTAACAAACTCAATTATACAGCTTATGCTGTGCTATTCCTCTGAAACGAGAACAAAAGCGAAGCTTAGAAACAAATGGTAAATATATTTACAAGGTCTGTATGTACGATACATTTGTAAAACTAATTATAACCGACAAGAGCAAACCGCAAAAGCGGCACGAACTGATGTGTGTATATTTCGGCAGTCTGGAAATGCGGAATTTCGTAATTAATTCCATAAATAAAACAAGAACAACGCAAAATTCAAACCTCGACCAGCATTGATAGATAGATCGACTGCGATGCTGTTGCATGGCAAATGAGCTGCGAATTTGTCTGCGGTAAATTCCAATACAAATCTCTGGGTCCGAAGCCCCAAGCCCGGAGGATTATAAACTCGTACGCAATCAATGTAACCGGTGGGAGAACGATTGCCATTTGGATATGCTAAACACACAAAACGCGTTTAGCCATGGAACCCTCACGCGTTGCTCATAAAATTGTGACAAAAGAATGGATCACTGCCAGGACGAACTCTGCGGATAAAAGAGCACGCGTTGTGCATAGTTTCTCTATCCCATGGGAATAGGGAATCAAATCTAAGGCATGGCGAGTAAATAAAAAACTAGCTAAGGGCTAAAAACACTTTATTGTTGGTCTGATTGGGGATGGGTGGTGGCATATGCTAATAGGGGTTACGACCCATCAAAAATTTGGGCAGCCTTAAAGGAGAAAATTTGTTGGTCACTTTAATATTGGCCTTCTGATTTTATAAGCCAACCTGTTTCGTTTACGTGATAAGGTTTAATAAAGGGAAAGTGAAAAAATTTATACAACACATGAACTTTTACACTCCAGAAACCTTTTTGGAAAAGGAAGTTAAAGTTACTTAAACCCTCAAGACTATTAAGTAATATGTTCAGCTCTTTAGCCAAACATAATCCTTATTAATAATGTGTTCTTAAGTAAATATAAACAAATGATCCCAATTCATTATCTTAATCTTCAGTAAGGAAAAGTGCAATCAAGCCAACACATCCTAATACAATCCGATTCAAACCAATTTTGGTGAGTTATACAGGACATCAAGAACAGACCAGCAGGAATCTCCGCCATCAGCATGAACTACACAACACAATTCATTATACAGTCCGCACATGCTTAAGTTGACACCGACAAGGACGACTCCTTGCGGAGGAGCAAGTCAGGCCAGACAAGAAAGTGCGAGCTAATGCTTTCGGCTGTTAAATCAGCAGCACAGTGGGCCCCTAAAGGAGCGCACTGTGCGTTGAATAATTAATGAAATCGGCTTTGGGTTGGGATGGACGGACCACCCATCCACGCCTCCTCTTGGGCGCCAAAATGAAACCAGAACTGTGAACCGAGAACCACAGCAACGCATAATTTGTTGCATAAGCGGGATAAGAGAGTGTGATGGCTCAAATTTAATCAGCAGATTCGTGTCTGATGGCTGCAGCCTTGCCTTACCCAGCGTCGTCAATCCCAACGAGCATTCAGTTAAAACAGTTTATGTTTTAATTAACCTTGACGGTGATGAGAGCCAGCGAGGAGCTCGGAAAGCTCATTAGCAAACCTTCAACACTCTCCGCTAAATGCTAGCCTTAATTGACTCGAGTTTGAATTGCGTCTAATTGAAATGAGATGATGTAATTTTGATGATGACCCAACACGACTCCAGCAATTCAGCCGTTTCATCAGTAGAGGAGGACATCCTGTCCTTTGCCAGCACCATCATCTAATCATCAGCTAGTCAAGTCAGGTAGCCGTTTGAGGGAGTAAACACTTTGCCAGTTGAAACGATTTCCAGTCACATGTGAGATGGAGGACAAGTTAGTATGGCTTAGATGGCATCCAGAGGACGTCGTCCACGTCCGATGTGACAAAATGCCCGTCTCCTCTAGAAAATAAAACAACCCTAGATGTTGTTTAAAGGTGATTTCTTAGGATTTTAAAAGATATAAAATAAGCTTTATACCTGGTTTATGCATAAATCAGAGACCCATTGTCACTCAGAGAACACAACACATCTTCGAGTATTCCCGCCGGGATATTCTCTGCAATTACCCACTCTAATTGTTGTGACGATGAGACTATAGGCGGATGCTTAATGACCTCGTATTCAGCCTCTTTAATGTGCAGTTAAATCGTGTACTATACATTCCATCCACTTCAAATTGCTCTTAATGACTTACGCTTAAACGGAGTTAATATGCCTGACATACGCAATCCTGATAAAATTCTTTCATATAAAATATTTAATAATGAGAATATTAAATGATGGTGAATTTTCCCAGTTTGTAGACTAAGAGGACCACTTTCTGTCGAAGTTTTCCCCTGCTTTAACCGCTTGCTCCTACATATAAGGACACATTTTTATTGATGCACAGAATCCTTGTTGTGATTAATGTACCCAAACTCGATTCCCCTTCTTTTCGACAACCTCCATTTATCCAGCCGCCTCCCTTTTGGCAGTTTATCTGTAACTTTTGCTGCCGAAGTGGTTGACAGGATAGTGAACAACCAGGGAACGAAGCTTGGTCAGCATAAATTAATTGCATTTGTGTATGGGACACAAGCACGAGGATATAAAGCAGTACAGGCAGTGGAATTTTATCATCGACATGCGAGTGGCCTAAGGACATTATAGTGCCAAGTCTTTAACTGAGTTTCAATCAGTTTAAGTGAAAGTGCACACTGGTCCCAATGCCCAAAATTTTTGCAAAAACCCATTTTTTTTTTTTTAAGTTAGGAAAAAAGAAACATTTTATTCTAATAGAATATTAAACGTTGCATATAAAAATCGCAATTTCGTTGGTGAAATTGCAGCCCTGCGAATTTCTGAAGCCCTGAAAGTCAGCTGTTCGTTTATCGAAAACGTTGGCTTTTTGGCGAGCTAAATAATAGCACATTTTAATACAAGATTGCGGAGGTTCTACTTAACTGATTAACGAAAAGTAAAATGGAAAATATTAGTGGAGGTATGTTAAATTTATGTGTTTAGTTCAATATTTGTTTAAAGTGATGTGTCTGTGTGTATATGTGCTTTTGTAAAGTGCTATATTTAACAATTTTAACCTAGCATTGTTCGTGTTTCGTGGAAGAAAAGTAGGTTTTCTTATGCCGGCTTACAAAAACTATTAACGCAGTTTTGTTCTTGAATTTATCAACAATACGATGACATAAACCTTTTTTGCTCGTTTTTGCTCCATTTTACAAAAAAACACTTTTTGTTAGACAACATAGACTTAGGTTATGCAGAAATGCTAGAGTATTGGCTGGCACATGGACGCGATACCGAAAGGCTTTATAATTTTGTACTCCAGAATCGCATGGGAAAATTGAAACAAAACATAGAGGATCCTTTGAAGAAGAGGATTAGCAACTTTGTTACTTATGTTGAAGCTGGAATAAAAAAATGCTCTCGGGTAGTTTCAAGATATAAGGCCCAGAAAGAACGTTTTCTTGCGACACGTTTTTTAGCAAAATTTCAACCATCAGACTATATTAAAGAATCCAATAGTGGAGGACGGCCACGATTAAGCTATGATGAAGGGCGTTTTCGATTAAAGCATAAATTAGCTAGCGAAGTTTCAGCAGAAAATGATAATGATGTCAATCTCCTTGCTCATGCAACTGTTATCGCTGCTAAGAAAGCGTGC